CGTCACTATATAAGATCGCTGAACTCTGTCTGATTCCCAATACCAAAAGCCAACAAAGTGCTTTCCTCGCTTAAGCACTTTTCCCCTCTCCCCCACATCATAATTCCCACTTCTGACTCAAAACCAACGGTCCCGATCAACCTCTCCCTCCTCCCCTGTTTCTGCAACTTCACACTCCCCACCCCCAACTGATCAAATCTCCACAAAAATCACTTCATGGGTGTCTCCATTTCCGATTTCTCCCTATTTTTCCTGATCATATTCGTAATTTCATCCGCAAGTCTGCAGCTTGGAGCCGAATCCAAGACTTTCTGGGCCGACATTGAAGCTCTCAAGGAGTTCAAGAACTCACTCGACCCCGGCTCAGTGCGTCCGGGCTCGTGCGTCAGCTCCTGGGACTTCAACCTCGACCCATGCGACAACCTCTTCAGCGACCGGTTCACCTGCGGCTTCCGCTGCGACAAGGTTGACTCCTCCTCGTCAGTCAGCAGGCTCACCGAGCTCACCCTCGACCAGGCCGGCTACTCCGGCTCGCTCTCCTCCCTCTCCTGGAACTTCCCGTATTTGCAAACACTCGACCTCTCCAACAACTTCTTCTCCGGGTCGATCCCCGAGTCGCTCTCCAACTTAACAGGGCTGATTCGACTCGGTCTCTCCGGAAACTCGTTCTCCGGTGCAATTCCCGACTCAATTGGATCGCTTTCGAACCTCGTGGAGCTTTTTCTCGACAACAACCGCCTCAACGGCGCAATCCCATCGAGCTTGAACGGCCTGGCGGGGTTGCAGCGGCTCGAGCTCCAAGGGAACCTGCTCAGCGGCGAGTTTCCCGAGTTGGGTTCTCTTCAGAACCTCAGCTACTTAGACGCCAGCAACAACGCCATCTCCGGAGGTGTCCCACTAAATTTCCCGACCTCTCTGCTCCAAATCTCCATGCGAAACAACAGCCTAGTAGGAAACATCCCGGAAAACATCAAACAGTTGGGTTTTCTGCAAGTGCTCGACCTGAGTCACAACCAACTCGGCGGTGCCGTCCCCGCCCACCTCTTCAACCACCTGTCGCTACAGCAGCTCACTCTCTCCTTCAACCAATTCACGTCCGTAAAGCCCCCGGTTTCTCCTTCTCCGGGCGCCCAGAGCGCGCTCATTGCACTAGACCTCAGCAACAACGAGCTCAGCGGAATGCTACCGCTGTTCATGGCGGCGATGCGGAAGCTCTCAGCATTGACGCTGGAGAACAATAAGTTCACGGGTATGATTCCGACCCAGTACGCGCTCAAAGTGGCGGTGCCCGGATCCGGAGTCTCGAAGCTCGAGAGGCTCCTGCTGGGTGGGAATTACTTGTCCGGACCCATCCCGCGTCCTCTGCTCGGGTTAGAACCCGGTTCGGCGAATGTGGTTTTGGGCAATAATTGCCTGTACAGGTGTCCCAGGATTTACCATGTTTGTAAAGGTGGCCATCAGAAATCGTATCATAAGTGTAGAAGCTTCCGCCCATAAATAATAACATGAATAAATATTATTAATATATTTTTGTATTTTTTTTTTTTAACGAACGACTTTTTTACACTAAAAACATGAAGACTGGGTTTAGCCGTCGTTCATTAGTAATAATGTGGTTTAAATTTATCTTTAATATTATTACTGTATTATTATTGTAAAATTATATATGACATGAAACTATTGAAATTATTTCATTTTCCACCCTTCTAATTTACTCTCAGTAACAGTTTGGACTCTACTTCATTGAAAAATTCACAATTTACTACCTCAAATTATGAATTCTTGGTCTATTAGTCAAGTTAACTTCGATGCAACACTTTAGTTGGTTCATTCTTTTGCTTACGTGGAGTCATATCAATGAACAACAGATTAACAAATGTCATGCACACAATAAGTAAGATTATTTTTTTTAGTGAAAACTATAATCTTCTAGATATAGATAATAGAGAACTGAAGATTAGAGTTTAAGAACTAATCTTACTCATTGTGTGTTATGTAAAATGATTAGTCGCTAAATTGGTAGTTCGAGAAATAGAAAGGTCAATAATAGTGCAATAATTTGTATTTTAAAGTAATAAAGCCCAAAATTTAGAAAAAAAACAAGAACCTAAATTATAAAAAGTGCAAATATAATTCTTAAATTAACTTAAATTATTACTAAGTTTGATTATCTTCATCTTAATTTTTAATTTTTTTGGTGTGTTCCTGCTTTTAGTCTAGGGAACTTTAACGAAAAGTTCTTGATACTGTTCATTTTAACGAAAAATCACATTTTTATACTAAAAAGTCAATCATGGTATTATTCATTTTGCACTTTATTTTGTCCTTATCGTTAAAACTCAAAGTTTTCAAATCATTTTCATTAGTTTTCCTTTTAGTCTAATTTCTATTTTTATATTTTAAGTTTGTGGAAAGTGTGGAAATTGAGGAAATGTTTGGTCAAATAGTGGTAATAATAATGAGAGGGGAAGTCCTTGTTTGGTGGTGCATGAGGTTAGTAATCAGTTGCTAGATTTTTTTTATCTTCCTCTGACAAAGGGACGTTAACACTCAGTGGTTTCCTATGTATATCCAGAGGATTTCCCTAGTCAATGGTATAATATCTATTTGGCGTTCTGTCTCAACGATATAATGTTTTGTTAAAAAAAAAAAATTATAGATGATGTTGCCTCATTGATATAAGACGTTCTGGTTGTTTGTGCCATTACAACTAAGTTGCTATAATACTGTAGTGTACGAATGGTCGTAGCGTGTGCTTTGGGAAGATATTGTGTTCGGAAAATAAGCATATATGTCATATGTGATAATAAAAATGAAGAGACATTTGAAAAAAAAAATTCCTCTATTTATATAATAACATATAATATAATGGCTCGTATTCCGGACACAATGAAAATCTCTGGTGTGCTTAGGGTAGTAGTATAACTACGAGCAAGCAATCTACTAGCCAAACAATGTAAAAGTGCATTCGCACCAACTGCATCGCTTCAAATGAAGGAAAACTACTGGTTTCCACTTTTAAGGGGGGATTGATTTTTTTTTTTTTTTTTAATTTTGTTTTGAAAACTAAAAACTCGTTTAATAATTTTCATTTGAATAAACTTAATCTAGTAATCAGTTGCTAGATTTTTTTATCTTCCTCTGACAAAGGTACGTTAACACTCACGTGGTTTCTTATGTATATCCATATACATGTTATAGATGGAGGATTTCCCTAGTCAATAGTATAATGTCAATTTGAAGTTCTGTCTCAACGATACAATGTTTTGTTAAGATAAATTTATACACGACGTTGCCTCATTGATACAAGACGTTATGGTTGTTTGTGCCATTATAACTAAGTGGCTATAATATTGTAGTGTATGGATGGTCATAGTGTGTGTTTGGAGAGATGTTCAATATGTCTGGAAAACAAGCATATGTCATATGTGATAATAAAAATGGATGAACACTTGAAAAAAAAATATTTTTCTACTTGTATAATAACATATAGTATATCGTTTCATGTTCCGAACATATTGAAAATCTCTCGTGTGCTTGGTATGGTAGTGTAACTACGAGCAAGCAATCTACTAGTCAAACAAAGTGAAAGTGCATTCGCACCAACTGCTTCGCTCCAATGAAAGAAAACTACCTAGTTTCCACTTTTAATCGCTGTTTGATAGTTATTTTATTTTTAATTCTTATTTTTACTTTGTTTTGAAAACTAAAAATTCATTTAATAATTACCTTTAATTTTCATTTAACAAAAATTATTTGAGTTTTCACTCGCACATTGTTACTTTTGCTAATAAAAAAAATATAATATCACACATCGTTGCTTTTGCTAGTGATCCAACGGTTGATTTACAATTTTACATCATCTTGGTGTGCTACATGCTTCAGTTACTAATTACCATGCCACTTAGTTAGGCTAATACATCATCTTGGTGTGCTACATGCTTCAGTTACTAATTACCATGCCACTTAGTTAGGCTAATATGATGAAAATATGCATCATTTTTTTTAATACATCAATATTTTTACACCAAAGGAAAGAAGAGTTCGATTAAGTTACATAATGGGCACCTTAATTTGATATCGAATTCGACATCCACGAGATTCAAATATAAGACTTCTCACTTCCAAGTGAACAAGAATATCACTTGACCGTAGTACTAAGTGATGAAAATATGCATCCTTCTTCATTTTTCTCTTTTCCTTTACCAAACCTACCAACCCTCGACACAAAGCATCATGATCATGCCACAATACTTATCATTAGCCAGACTATCTTAACTTAATATGAATGTACAAGGGGTTAGGTTAATTAATTGAAATATTGAAATATGTTATTTTGAGTCTGATTTTCGTGGATCTAGTTTAGGTGATTAAGGTTCACAGGTCGAGTTTTGAACATTTAGGGCACGAGGAGATTCTCTCTTACAACTAATTCATAGTCTCGATGATATTATTTGATCATTTAGCTTTGGTCACATGGCGGGACTTGAACATTTAGCCAATTGCCACAATGAAGCTTCTCCCTCAATGTAAAGAGAAACTTTGGTATGACTACCTTATTAGGGCAACTTTTACACAAGGTGAGATTAGACCACATAAGATTCTCATTCTTTTGTGCAAGATATCATACGAATGACGTTATCAGACAACTTTACAAATTTTATCCTCAATGTAGGAAGAGGATCCTCTCCTGAGCTCAGGATGGGGATCCTCCTGACCACGAAATCTGGGCCGTTCAAATTTAATCCAACGGCTCTAAACAGAGGGGCCATCTAAAAGTTATAATAATTACAACCGTTGGATTAAATTTGAACGGTCCGGATTTCGTGGTCAAGAGAATTCCCATCCTGAGCTCAGGAGAGGATCCTCTTCCCTCAATGTATACTTTTCTACCACTTAATTCAATACCAATCCAATCCTAGTCACATCCCACTAGTCATGGGGAACATTGCTTATTGTAGAAGACAAATAAGCACACAGCTAAAACTGTGAGGCTTAAACTAATTAAACAATTCTTGTGCTGTAGCTGCTTGATGATTACATTGTTCAATAAATTCAAGCTTTTGACTCATGAGACATGAAGATTTTTGAGCCTTAACATTTCTACATTTCTCATAAATGAAGATCTCAATTTACAACAAAACCCTAGTCCTCTTTCTCTCACTACTCCTCTCACTTCTTGTCTCCAAAGCTTGCCATTTGGTAGACAGACAAGCACTTCTACATTTCAAGCACAACATCGTTTCTGACCCTTCAAAACTGCTGCATTCGTGGTCAATCTCCTCCGATTGCTGCTCCGCTTGGGAAGGCGTCGCGTGTGAATCCTCCGGCAGAGTTGTAAACGTCTCACGCCCGGGGCTTGTTTCCGGCAATGACTTCCTGGTCGACACGTATATGTCCGGTACTTTGTCCCCTTATCTTGGAAACTTATCATTTCTTCAACTTCTTGACCTCAGTAATCTCAAGGACTTGAAGGGTCCAATACCACAAGAATTTGGGAAGCTATCTCACCTCACTCATCTCTTCCTTGATTCAAACATGCTCATTGGCTCGATACCAACAGCATTTCGCTATCTTTTTCGATTGGAGAAGCTCTATCTGGGTAACAATTACATATCTGGTGTTGTTCCCTCCTCTGTTTTTGGATCTTTGAGCTCTCTCTCGGAATTAGGCCTATCCGGAAATCGGTTGTCGGGCCAAATTCCAACTTCAATAGGAAAGTTGGTTTTACTAAGCAAGCTTGATCTCCATGCAAACAATATCTCCGGAAGCATTCCAATCTCCATTGGCAAGCTTAAGAGCTTGACATATCTTGATTTATCCGAAAATCAGATAAGTGGAAGACTGCCTCAGTCCATTGGTGCACTTTCGCAATTAGTCCTGCTCTATCTCAATCATAATCAGCTCACTGGAAGCATTCCTTCTTCGATTTCCGGGCTTAATTCTCTGCGGTTTTGTCAGTTATCCCAAAACAAGCTCGCAGGTGCTTTGCCAGCATCACTAGGCCAGCTCCCAAAGATCGAAAGGCTCATTTTCGAGAACAACAAACTTTCAGGAAAACTACCAGCAGCCATTGGCCACCTTGCAACTCTCACTGACATTTTCTTCTCCAACAATCGTTTTACAGGCAAGATTCCTTCAAGTTTTTCCAATTTACATAACCTACAAACACTAGATTTGTCGAGAAATCGACTCATTGGTCAAATTCCTCCTCAGCTTGCAAAATTACTTAGTCTAGACACTCTGGATCTTTCATTCAATCCACTGGGATTGGTTAGTGTACCAAGCTTTTTTGCAAGATTGAAACTTTTTCGGCTATTGTTGGCGAAAACCGGCATTGAAGGGCTGCTTCCGAATTGGTTATCTTCATCATCTGTCTCCATACTTGACTTATCAAGCAATGCCTTGACAGGCAAGCTGCCTCATTGGATAGGCAACATGACTAGCCTTTCATTTCTGAACTTATCAAACAATGGTTTCCATTCATCAATCCCAGCAGAATTCAGAAACCTTGCACTTCTGATGGATCTTGATCTGCATTCCAACAAGTTCTCCGGCCACCTGAGCTCGATATTTTCGAAACAATCCCAAAACCCTCTTGGACAATTCAACTCCCTTGATCTTTCCAACAACATGTTCACCGGCCCGATTGATGAGGACATCGGAGAAATTCCCACAATGGCAGCCATCAAAAGTCTAGTTTTATCAAACAACCCCTTGAGAGGAAGCATACCGAAGTCATTGGGAAAACTGAGTGATTTGCAGGTTCTAAAGCTTGCGCATAATCGGCTTTCGGGAAGGATTCAATCAGAGCTTGGAGATGCCAGAAAACTTACTACACTTTCTCTTTCAAGTAATAACTTGAGTGGAAATATTCCAAAGGAGGTGCTGAATTTGAAAGACCTTAAAGAATTTGATGTTTCTAGGAACCATTTGAGTGGGAAAATTCCTCCTCACAAAGCCATTATTCCCGTTTCCGGTTTCATAGATAACCCTGGCTTGTGTGGAGTTCCACTTCCTCCTTGTAATCACTTTTGAAGTTTTGGCTTGAGAATTTAAAAGTTTAGATCTTTACTTTTTTGAAGGCTTCATTTTTATGTCATTGCACTCGAAACGTAACAACGTCGTCAATCGACTAGTTAAACTCACTTTTGAGTCATCTTTTACTCAAATATTCTTCTGAAACACTCATCTAACATACCAACCATCCATGAGAGTCGGATTTAGTTTTGCGAATGGCGGCTACTCACGAGATAGACAATGACTTCGACATTGATCGAGACCATGTTCTGTATGAGTCTTTGAGAAACAACACTGCTATCGTAGTCCTAACGGCTATATTTCCACCCCCCTGCTCCACGAGTTTAGGGTTTCAACTTTCAAGCAAAGACTAATAATAAAGCTCCAACCCCTATATTGGAGCACCATGTGAAGTAGGTATTTGTTGGTAATATAAAACATATATATATATATATATACACACACACACACATATATATGTATAGTCAGAAACCATGAGGAAAGAAACGAAAGCAGCTGGAGGCCATATTCAAAACTTACGTCTGGTTCTTCTGTTGTTTGGAGATTTGGTGTTTTGTGCTTGGCTTATGCTGCATCTACGATCCTGAGACAGACAGTGCTGTAAACCGGCCACAAATTCCAAACAGTGAATTGCAAAGTGAGTTAAAAACTGAACGTTAAGCTGATAGGAGGGCTTAGGATGTTGTCATTGGTTTTGAGGATATATGCCCTTATAAAAGTGGGGGTGTTTCATAAAGGACAAACCAGCGTGCACTTGGAGAGGCAATTGTGGGTTAGACAGGGTTGGTTAAGGTAATGTGCTCGTACTTATTCATATAAGAATAACTTATATGACACGAGTACACTGTCACCGTGACGTCTCATGTCAATGATATATAGACGCGTGTAAATTTTTATACACATAACATGTTATCATTAGGATTGAGACATTCATCTTTTCATCTTTTGCACTCCTCCTCCTCCCCTTAACGAACGCAATTGGAGGAAGAGAGTTACTAATTAAAAGGTTAATTTATTTATTGTTCACAAAATAAATTAAATGGATCGTGTTACAATCTTTATTATAATTTTTGACCAATGATTGACAAGCAAGCACCAGTGGTCTAGTGGTAGAATAGTACCCTGCCACGGTACAGACCCGGGTTCGATTCCCGGCTGGTGCAAAATTCTTTGTTTTTATATATATTTTTTATGTTGGTTTTTTGTCTTCAGCTTTTTTCAATTAAAAGTGCTTCTGCTGATATGAGAAAAAGTGCTTCTGCTGACATTAGAAAAAGTTCCCTTCCTCCCTGCAACTTGCATTGATAGCTTCAACTTTTATCATCTCAACAACTTGAAGAAGAAAATAACAGAGAATATGCTGTAAAATAATTGAGAACAACACTTTGAGTCCATGGCTCCTCCCTCTTGCTTTATGCACTACGCATTTTCATGCTATGTATGCTTCCTTCATTATTGTCCACCTCCTCCCTTGCCCCTTTTTTGGTTAGATTTAGGAAAAACAAATTTAAGAGCATGGCCCTTGTTTTTAATGGGCAAACTACATTTGCTATTGTCGCAATCTGACATATTTGTAGAAATAACACATTAAAAAGTACAAAAAGAGAAATTACGACACACATGTCAGTCTGTGATTGACAAAAATGTATGATGTTCTACTTCCAAGGAAAGGAGCCACGTTTCTCCCACAAGGAATTAGTCAAGTAAGCCTTACTTAAAGACTAGTTGAGTGCACCTTAAGGACATACATAGAGTGCGAAAGTCATCTTCCAAATGTACAAATAATTCAAAACTGTGGAACGGTAAATGGGAGGCTTTCTCTAGTGCACACCAAAAGTACATATTTAAATTACACACGTGTATAAGAACCATAAAATCATGTAATTTAATAACTTTTATTCAGATGTATAACTTAAATATGCACCAGAAAAAGCTGATAGTACTAAATAGTTTGGTGAAATTTGATTTAGAGTTCCGAAGGCCCATGTTAGCAGTTTCCAATGCATATAAATTACAGGCCATGTCCATTTATGCAGCCCACCACGTGACTAGTTTGCAATCACGCATGTTTAACTTTGAGACTAAATAAAATTTGAAACTACTTGAGCGAACTTATATAATTATTTAACCCGTTAATAGTTAGATTAGTTCGCTCAAGTAGTTTGTTATCTCTCTTACACTCGAGTTTGAATCTCACTCTCTATAAATTAGAATAATTTGAAATAAACATCGTCTAATAATTAAACATAATAATAATAACATATTTTTGTAGCATACAAATCCTCCCCATTTTCACACTTTCAGTTCTCCATAATTCCACTGTGCTACCCAATACCCATGCTCTGGGAGACTGGGACCACGAATCCATGGAATCAGAGAGTGAGTCCACCCTCCCACACCTCCTTGTATTATCGTGTATCCGAATATGCAAACCGGGTATAGCGTCAGTATGCGGTGTGTGCTCACGATCATTCAGTCAGTCTAGTGACATTCAATCTTTTATTTTGTTAGAGAAGATGTTGAATTCAAATTTCAAGAACCATAATTGACGTAAACATGTTGATAGTGAAAACCCATACACGAGGAATATTAACAAAGTTAACACTTTAGACTTGTGACTACTTACTCCAGTGAAATCCAATTCATGATACCTCATCTTTACCAAGAGAAAAAGTGCGAAAAATAGCATTGTTGGATTCAATATTTCCTACTAACTAAGAGATAAAAAGATTTACCACTTGTATATGAAGAGTCATGGTTAATTCAAAAGGGGTTGAAAAACTTAGTAGACCTAATGAAGGAAAGTTTTCTCAATGTGTTGGTAACACAGCTCGATACACCAAGTGACATAATAGAATTGGTTAGAAACTTGAAAAAAAAAATTATAACCAATTGTATTATTACACTTGATGTACCAAAATTTGTTCTTGGCACGTTGAAAAATCTTCCCTAATAAAAGGAGGATTCATGACTTTTTTCAATTGACAAATTATCTATATACAGGGTGTCTCTACATTTTCATTTAACCTCCCTTCTCCATCACCAGCCAATAAAAAAAAACACATTACATCAAACAACTAGTTATTGGACCATATTTTCAATGGATTTGGATCCCATCTGAATCTAAATTGCGGGGATCCTAGAGATTCTCACATCTTAGTCATTCTTTGTGCATCGTGCTGTCAGAAATTATTTGAACTTTTTTTATTTAAAATTAAACACAAATAATACCTGACGAAAAATGACTGTACGATATATGATGAACGATTAGGATGTTAGGATCCCTAGAATCCCGCCAAAGTGGATCCAAAAAGGATCCTCTTCCATTTTCAATTACTTCTAGAGTAGTGTAACATAGCATATAGTCTAATCTACATTTAACAACTTAATTCACATATTTGTCTTTCAATTCTTTATTTTATGCTATTTCATTACGCACTTGTCATTCAATTTTTTTTCTTCCAAAGGAAGGACAACTAGGGGCATTATTCACCATTTTAGAAGGTTGAGAAGACTCACAAAGGCATTTCAACCTCTCCTGACTACAAATCTGGCTTCCACACCAACAGTGGGACCCTAATACGTCGAGAGTTAATTAATAACTAAAAAAAATTGTTGAGTGGGGTATCTAATTTATGAAGGTATTATGGTTGGGAACTTGTTTTGGATGGAGTAGAATGAAACCGTAAGGAGAAGGACACCACACTCGGACACTCGACGTGAGTCACCTTCCTCTTCCTTGGAAATTTCACTAGATTCCGTACTTTGTGTTTGTATTTTCACTTCTCCACTTCTCACTTTCCCGTACCATCATCACACTCAACGACAGGCAACAGGCAACCGTACGTTCCAATGACAGCAGATTAGAGGGAAGACGAAAAAGGTAAAAAAAAAATAGGAGAAAGAAGAAAAGAGAGAGATAAATTTGGAGTGAGAGGGAAGGAGGGAGAAAAAAAGAAAGGAATGAATTTGAGTTTAAGTTTAAGTTAGTCTTGAGTTCAGTTTTTAAAAATAGTATTATTAAACAAGTTTTTAAGATCTAAAACTTGAAAATTGTTTTTGAGTTTAAAATGTTAGATTCAAGTAAAGTACCAAACAAGTCCCAGAATTTGTTTTTTCCTTTATGGAAGTAGGCTATGAATGATTTTGAGTTGTGCTCTTGAGAATGAATCAATCAAATAAGATTTTTTGGCCTGACACTCAAAAAGTGCTTGAGTTAAAAAAATGGATTTGAGTTTAATACCAAACAGACCTTAAACAGTTTCCAATTTTTTTTAAGGAATTTTAACGAAAAATCTTTTGGTACAGTTCATTTTAACGAAAAATTACATTTTAAAATTAAAAAGTCAATATTTGTATTATTCATTTTACCCTTTATTTTGTCTTTATCGTTAAAACTCAAAATTTTCAAGCTCTTTTCATTAGTTTTTTTTTTTTAAGTACAACGGATATCATTATTCTTATCTATACCAAAAGAAAGATGATTTGAACTCAAAACGTAATGCGTTGAGAAAAAATGCCGTAACCAATTCTAAACTCTCTCCAAATTCAAATGATTTTTTTTTATAAGAGAAGAACAAGTTTGATTATGTCATTTGTAGATAAAATGATCCTAAGTTTTAATGCAAGAGAAATAATTCAGCCACGAATCTATATATCATATGTAATAATATAAGTACTAAAAATATGTAAAAACAGTCTACGTGCATGTTTTCAGACACTGAGAAATAGACCACATGATACAAGTATATATTGTCTTTAATCACCCAGTTTATCCTTGTTGGGCTCCATTCACCAAGGAGGGGACAATCCCCATTAAATTGAAGGAAGTTTTTACGAAACACTTTCGATACTATTTATTTTTAACAAAAATGATATTTTTACTCTAAAAAGTCACTCATGTTACTATTTACTTACAACACATTTTTGTCATTTTGATTAAAATTCAAAGTTTTAAATTTTTTTTATTAGTTTTTCTTAAATTGAATTTTGAAGCCCACTCCTTTTCTTTTTTTTTTTTGAAATTACAAAAGAACGTTACCATAATT